ATATTTTTGGGTCGAGGAGTGAGATGCCGCCCACTCCCCTCTTCTTCTGTAGAATTGCTTTGGCAATGCGGGGTCTTTTATTATTCTAGATGAATTTTATGATTGTCTTTTCTAAATCTGTGAAGAATATGTCTGGTACTTTAATTGGCATTGCATTAAATAGGCAGGTTAATACTGCCATTTTAGTTATATTAATTCTTCCAATCCAGGAACATGGGATGTCCTTCCACTTTTTTGTGTCATTTTCAATTTCTTTTTTTAGCTTCTCATAGTTTTCCTTGTGGAGTCTTTAACTTCTTTGGTTAGATTTATCCCTAAGTATCTTATACTTTTAGTGGCTATGGTAAATGGAATAACTCCCTATTGATTTCTTAAATATAAATTAATTTTTTGTATAGAGAATACAAATAGAAGACAAGTTTGTGCACTTTGGACCATCAAAATCTTTGCTCTTCAGAAACTACTGATTTGGTGTATTTATGTATGTATTCATTTATCATTATTTTTAAAATTTTACACTCCATTGCAGTACATCATTTGTCTTGTAAAGAGAATTTACTGAACATGAAATACAGCTTAGACTAGCCCAGTTGAGAATACTATACATGTCATCTTTAACAGGTAATAAATCATTAGTGTGTCCCACAAATGTCTTGTCTCTCAATTTTTTCTCCCTAATTTCCTTCCTTATCTTCTCCTCTCACACCCTCCTTCCACACTGTCTCTTGTGTCCATAACTATTTTCAATGTTTTTACATCCTCAAATCTATCAGTCTGTACCATGGAGTGTAGACAGTAGTATATATTAACTGGAGACAGAGAATGTCCCTATTTCATAGCCTGGCTTGCTTCACTCAGCAGTAAATCTTCCATGTTCATCCACTTCCTATCAAATGCAAGGATCTTGTTTTATTATTATTTTTGTATGCTTTGTTTGTTCGTTTTTACGGGTGAGTAGTATACCATAGAGTATATGTGTCACATATTTTTCATCCATTCATCTGTTCATAGATGTTTAGGTTAGTTCCATGTCTTAGCAATTGTAAACAATGCCAAAATAAACAGATATGCAAACATCCTTTGGTAGACACCCGAGAGTGGAATTGTTGGATCATATGGTAGTTCTATTTTATTTGTAGGTCTTTGAGGAACCTCCATATTGTTCTCCATGTACCATATTTCTGACAAAAAAATAAGTCATCTAACAAAGGCCAGCATACACAAAGCTCAGGAGAATAATATTTTTGAGAACATGCACACAAAGAAAGCTTAGAAGAATTTGGCTGCAAGATCTAAGAGGGTGACATTGCCTCTTCCTGTTTTAGCCAAACTGCTTGGTACAGAGTGTGTGTTCAATACATATTTGTAGTTTGAGGGCAAGATATAACTTACAAAGTGTGATTTTTGTCTGGGTGATTACATTATGGATCAGTGTTAAAAATTTATTGAATGACTTTGTGTTTTAAAATTTTTCTATAATTTGCATAACAGTATTTCAAATAAAAGCTAGCATGTTAAAATTAAATGGCAGCACTAACAAATAGATTGCAAGTGAACGACAGAGGAGTACAGCCGGCCGCCTAATGAAGAGGGAGCGAGGAAGCAGGAGATGACCTGGTTTCAGTCTCGTCCACCTGCTGGGAGGGTTGCCTGTGACTCTCCAGTGGGTCTCTGGATTTCAGGTTCTACACCTCTGAGACATTGTAGGAAAAATAACAATGTCTCACAAAAGTCACTTGATTAAATAAACATATGCACACACGTATGTGAAAAGTAGTTTGAAAAGCACAGAAGCCTAAGGGTGTGTATTAACTAAAATGTCAGATTCTATCGATAGTGGCGAGGTTTGAGATTATGGCTAGTGTTGGTTAACATAGGAGGACTCAAAAGCTGTTAGAAGAAACCAGAGATGTGCAGCAGAGATGTCTATTACTTGTTTAGCTCTATAGTTGCGTTTTTCTTCAGAGTTCCAGAGGGAGTTTATTAAGAGAACTGTCGCCCACTCCCCTAAGACACGGTCTAACCTGGCTGATGTAACTCGCCTATTTCTCTCTGTGCACTTGACCTGCCGCACTGTGAGCGCGTCCCGACGATGCCCCAGACGACATCTGACAGTGAGTGCGTAGTGTTCCCTGGTGGCCTGTCCCAGGAGGGGTGTCCGTTTGCCCATTGCGGTGGCCCCTTACCTGCCCAGGGCCCCGCCCTCCTGCTGTATTTACGCAGCAGACAGCCCCTGGGTCCTCACGCGTGGTGGTGGTGCTGCATCCTTAGGGTCAGCAGGTGTGTTATGGAACTCTTTTCATATTTTGCCCAGAGCTCAGCCTCTATCTGCCAGAAGAAGGAGGATAGGGGATTTGTTAGGAATATGCACGTGTGTGTATTCTTAAATACATATGTACACACACACATATGTATTCTTGAATTGGTTAATGTTTATGTGAAGGCATCAAATTTATTTTCAGTGTTGTCTACAGCATCAGCAACCCAATGTTTGGCATTTTACTAAGTTGAATATCCTAGTTAGTCTTTGGAAAATTACTGGTAAATAGCATTCACTCTCTTAATGTAGAGGTGCTCTGAGATTTAGTCTAAATGATTGGATTTTTTAATACTTGAACTTGGAGAAGCGTTTATTATAGGAGAGACGAAATTCTCCATGACAAAAAAGCAAGAGAGATATGAGGTATGTGTGTGTGTGTATGTATGTGTATTTGAATATGCACATGTTTATATATATTTCTATACACAGATAGGCCTTTAGATCCACACAAAAATGTCAAATATAAACTTTTCAAGTTAATTGTATGCTTTATTTCATCGAAGATCTTTTCATGCTTTATTTTGAGAATACAATTTTTTCATTTCTTTGTTTATATCATGAGAGAGAGGGAGACAGGTAGGCAGACAGACAACCCCCTCAGCAGGGTCTCAGGTGATAATTGAGTCCCCAGCCTTCCAGCCAGTTGGTCCAGGCCAGGCAGTCCAGCATGCACAGGGTCATGCAGGAGCCATATCTGCGGCTCCACTGCAGCTGGGCTGAGCTCCTGCGTGTTGGGGAGTCCTGGCCTGGAGAATCGGTGCGATGCCTCTCCTGTGATAAGGGAGTGATAGTAACAGCCATCTCTACATGGGCTCTGCAGAGTGTGGGTATGAACTCTTCTTTTGTTTATCTGTTTTTCATATTTATTCGGGTGGTGATTCGGCTACAGAATAAAGCCCTTTAAGCATCAAGAAATCCTCTTTTTCTCAGCAATTTTGTTGATTATAATTTGTATAATCCTGAAGAGATTCTCTTATCTGAAGTTTCATGCATTCAGGTATTTTTCATGATGTCTGATGTGATCACGAATAAAGACTGCAGTGAAGTAGTAGCTACGACCGTAATCCTCTTGTAATCTAAAACCAATAGGGATTTTCTTTTCAGTACAGACAGCTCTGAAGTGATCAGGAAGTCACTGTCCATCTGAAAGAAACTGGCCATCTTTTCCTTGATCAATTACTATGTGCAGCCGAGAACCCGGATAGGACTTCGCAAGATGGGTATCCGCATAAGCCTTCCACTAACTTCGATCTGTTCCCAAGTATCCACTGAAAGCTTTTGCCCCAAGGACACAGCACTGGGTTGCAAACTGGAGCAAATGCTGGCCCAGATTTGTATTTTCCAGGACGTTTCAAGACAGAGATCAGAGCCCTGTGGCCTCCCATGGAGCGGCCAGAAGTAGACAGCCTTGGGGTCCCCTGGAATGGGCATCTGTAGGTTGGGGAAGCTCCTCTGTTACATAGAGTACATCCTGTAGTTAGTTTTCTAAGGTCTTCAGTGGCACCCACATAAAACCCAGCACCAGTGCCGAGGTCCCAGCTGTCATCTCCGTTAATATTACAGCCGCGAGGGCTGGTATCTGGAACAATGATGATTAGACCGTGTTCTGAGGCTGCTTGATACCCAGATTTTGATACAAAATTTTGTTTTGTGCAAGTTAAACCAGACAGCCAGTATAGTGCAGGGCACTTTCCAGTCTCTGCCTTTGGTCGTCAGTAGACAGCAAATTTCATTTTGCACTTCAGTTCAACACTGTCATGTTCAGAAAATTTCTGGAATCCTCCTAAGCACGTGTTGATGTAAATCTGTTCTAAAGCCATTCTTGTCCTGAGACAGCTGCAGCAGGTAGAGCAGACACTGCAGGAAGAAGATACTAACTCTTTAATAGGAAGCCTGTGCTCATCTGTAATCACGGTATTCTGAGGACTTTCATTCCTTCACATGGTTTGGTCCTCATGTCCCCTGAGGTCACGCATGATCTTCTTTGGGTGCAGAGGGCACAGGGCATGGTTGGTGAGAAGCTGACCCAGGGCTGCAGCCGGGGCTCCTCTCCCTGTGCCCCTCAGTTCTCTGTGGTGTCGTGTCTGTGTGAGGACCCTGCCTGCTCCAGGGAATGTGAAGCTAAGCCCACACCACGGCAGCCCTCACACAGGCAGAGCCGGTTCAAATGTACAGTATGGCTTTACCTGGTGTGTCTCGGTTACTTTCTAACCCTTTATTATTGAATACACCTCTGAGAGTTTTAAGATCCCATCTGGATCCTTAAACCAGAGGTAAATTCAATTCAGATTTTTGTAGCATAAACTCTGTAAGAAAGTTTAATTTCTCTGTTTTCCAGGGATTTACTGTTAGTGTTCGTGTAGGGCAGAGATTCTGCAGTTCCCAAGGCTGGTGATAAATGACTCTGTCGTCAGGAACTTTCAGTTCTTTGAACTGTGTCAGCCTCCCTGTGAGTTTCCAATTCTTTACACCCACAGTTGGAAATTCTGTTTTCTAATTTGTTAAAAACCAGGCCGCTTATAATCACCAAATCTGCAGGCCCAACAAACCTTCCCAGTCAGCACACTGAGGTTGGCGCACACACATACATGTGTGTGTTCACGAAAAATCACTCCAGAGACTCACACTGCATTAATCCAAGGCTCTGCTTCGTGGCCTAGGTGAGAACACGGAAAACGTGACCTGGATGGCCAACCACACCGGATGGGTGGATTTCATCCTGGTGGGACTCTTCAGTCAGTCTGAACACCCAGCTCTCCTTTGTGTGGTCATTTTTGTGATCTTCCTGATGGCCTTGTCTGGAAATGCCATCCTGATCCTGCTGATCCACTCTGACAGCCGCCTCCACACCCCCATGTACTTCCTCATCGGCCAGCTGTCTGTCATGGACGTGATGTACATCTCCGTCACTGTGCCCAAGATGCTCCTAGACCAGGTCATGGGCGTGGATGAGATCTCGGCCCCTGGGTGTGGGATACAGATGTTCCTCTATTTGACACTAGTGGGTTCCGAATGTTTTCTTCTAGCAGCCATGGCCTACGACCGCTATGTGGCCATCTGCCATCCTCTCCGTTACTCTGTCTTCATGAACCACAAGGTGTGTCTCCTTCTGGCCTCTGGGTGCTGGTTCCTGGGATCGGTGGATGGCTTCATGCTCACTCCCATCACCATGACCTTCCCCTTCTGCAGATCTCGGGAGATCCGCCACTTCTTCTGTGAGGTCCCCGCTGTAATGATGCTCTCCTGCTCGGACACCTCAGTCTACGAGACACTCATGTACCTGTGCTGTGTCCTCATGCTCCTGATCCCTGTCATAGTCATTTCAAGTTCCTATTCATTCATCCTCCTCACCATCCACAGGATGAACTCTGCTGAGGGCCGGAGGAAGGCCTTTGCCACCTGCTCCTCCCACATGACTGTGGTCAGCCTGTTCTATGGGGCCGCCGTCTACACCTACATGCTGCCCAGCTCCTACCACACCCCTAGGAAGGACATGGTGGTGTCCTTTTTCTACACCATCCTCACTCCTGTGCTGAACCCTTTAATCTACAGTCTTCGGAATAAGGATGTCATGGGGGCACTGAAGAAAATGGTGACTGTGGGACCTGTCTCTCAGGAAACTACAAAGTAGGGAATTTAGTACTAATGTTTTCTTCCCTTCTATATACAATTAGATATTTAGAATTTCATGCCAATATTTTTTTGTCAAATTCTCTTACCATGATATCTTACCTCACATTTATTTTTATGTATTGCTTTACTGTTTTTTTTTATTTTCTACATTAATTCACTATACACCTTCACAACACACAAATGAATTTTCCATCCAAAATACACTGTGCATTGGTTCAATCAAGCACATCAACATACATGTTCTCAGCAAATAATTTTCCAATTCTTACATCCTGCATACCTTGCCCTTTGTCTTGCCATCCCTGATTCCCCATCCCCCACCCTCTGCTATGTCCCATCTTCCTCCTCCATTGTCCCTGGCATCCATGGTTGCCCTCCATGCCTTCCGCCCCCCCCCCCCCCCCATTCAATTGTTCTGCCAATGAGCTTAATTAGTCTAAATATATCCAATAGCTAGCACAGCTGTCACATACCTATACATGTACCCAAATCTGACCCTAGGCATAAATCCCAGTGAGTAGAATGAACATACTATAAAGTAGTACCCAGCTGTGCCCATACAGCTCGCTGCAGTCATCAAATGTGCATTTTTTT